AATGACCCATATATATATATATATATATGTATATAAGGGCCGGACTCAAATAGTTTCGGAGATACAGGCTGAGAAAGGATACAAATTACCATGATATATTTATTATTTGTATCCTTTCTCAGCCTGTATCTCCGAAACTATTTGAGTCCGCCCCTTATATATATGTATATATGAAATGACTCGGGAAGACATCCCCAACAACATATTTAAAAATAAAGCAACTCGGAGAGGAAGTCGCTTTTATGCATAATTACCGTTTATTGTTATTTCCTCGAGAACGCCTGAATAGTGCGCCCTACGGCTTTAGCAGAAAATAAGTTTGGGTGAGTACAACACACCCACACAACTAGATTAAAATCGGTGACTACAGACTGCCGGGTTCCCCTTGTTAGTCAAAACTTGGTTCGATTCCGGAATTATTGACGAATACACATGCAAAAAATTGCGTAACAATCATGGAAACCTACCTAGGTGCTATGGACTTCCGAAAGTCCACAAGCCTAACATTCCGTTGCGTATAATTGTTTCCAGCATAGGCAGCCCTCTCTACGATATTGCTCGTTTCCTTCATAATATTATAAATGATTCCATTCCTAAACCTAAGTCTTACATAAGAGACAGTTGGTCCTTCGCAAGAATAATCCGTGGGCACACAATTCAGGAGCATGAGATTCTCCTGTCCCTAGATGTCACGTCACTATTCACCAACATCCCAAAAGATTTGGTCATGAACGCGATAGAAAAGAGATGGACACACATCTCGACAAATACTAAATTCAATCTACAGCAGTTCCTATACGCTATAGACATTATATTGAGCTCTACTAGCTTTGTTTTCAATAAACAGTTCTACGATCAAATCTATGGCAGTCCTATGGGTTCCCCCTTGTCCCCCATTCTCGCGGATATAGTCATGGAGGGCTTAGAAACACATTGCCTGAGTATTTTAAACTATGACGTTCCAGTCTTCGTTAGATATGTGGACGACATATTCACAATTGTCCCGCGAGACAAAGTAAATGATATCCTCAATGTTTTTAATAGCTACCATCAACGACTGCAATTTACTTATGAGACCGAAATTAACTCCTCTATCAATTTTTTGGACACGTCAGTTATTAGAGCGAGTGAACATCTCATAACCGACTGGTTTAGGAAACCTACGTTTTCGGGACGTTATATTAATTATTTTTCCAGCCACCCCTTGAAACATAAAATCAGCGTTATAACTAGTTTGGTAGATCGTGCAATTTTATTAGCTGACGAACGCTTTCATGATCAAAACATCAAAATCATCCAAGATATCCTCTCTGACAATAGCTATCCCTCTAAATTATGTAACAAATATATCAAACACAGAATAAGACAAATCAAGTACGGGGCTACTAGAAATAATGACGTTCAAATAACCAGAAATCCTATAGCGATACCTTACATTAAAGAATTTAGCGAAAATATCTACAAAATTTCAAAAGAACGTGGTTTTGATGTAGTTGTTGAATAATGCATTGGTTTGGGAGACGTGTTGTCAAATCACCCTTCTGGTCATATTACCCGGTCTTGTAAGGAGCATGCGTGATTGTGCGAATGCGTGTGATTGGGTGGTATGTTCTGGAAGGCGAGTGAACTGTAACGGATGAATTCTTCGTCCTACGTCGGGGGGAACTAGTTAAGCTACTCTTGTGCTGAGCTGAGCTACGTGTCGATCTCCGCGAAAACTTCTACTTCTTTGTTCGTTCAGTTAATTCTTCATTAAAGTGAATAATTCGTTTTGCGTCTCAAACCGATTTAATATTTTTCTCCTACCAATCCCAAAAGGTTATGGGCCCAGATAACGCGTTTAGTTGAACTATATTAATTTTCGGTTTGAAAGTCGGTCGTGAGGGCGACGGACAAAAAGCCACAAGGCTGCCACGTGGTAGGTCAGTCAAGACGATTCACTTGTTTAACATGGCCGAGGAAATATCAGCCAGGAACATTGTGAGGTTCGATGGAAAGAATTTCCTTCACTGGAAATTTCAAGTGCGTGCGCTTCTTAGAGCGAACGGCATCCTAGACATTGTCGAGGGGGTGCGTGAAAAACCGGAGGACGCAGCAAGTGCGGCGGCGAAGGCGTGGGAACGCGAGGATGCACGTGCGGTGTACGTGCTGGCGTCGTCGATGGAGGCGAAGCAGGGCGAGTCTCTACTTGTATGCGGGACTTCGAGAGAAATGTGGACCAGGCTAAGTGCGATCCATGAGCAGCGATCGGCAACGAGCAAGATCATGCTCTTACAGCAATTCCACGAGCACAAGATGGACGCAAGCGGCTCAGTGATCGACCACGTGTCGAAGGTTCAAAACATGGCCAGTCACCTTCGAGATGTGAGTGAACCTATGTCTGATATGGCCATTACCCAGACAGCACATGATATTATACGAATATTCTATACTCATACCATGAATGTATGTACTGTATATAATATCACGTAAAAAACTTACCTTTTTAAAAAAAGGTAAAAAAAAGCACCAAGTCTAAGCTCCAATTCAACCGAATATATTTTGTTACTCTATCTTTTTTACAAAAGTATAATCTCTACGAAAATATCTTTACTGCAAAAGTATGTTCTTTACAAAAATAGTGTCTCCACAAAAATCTTCTGTACAAAAATATCTTCTCTACAAAACTATCTTCTCTACAAAAGTAATGATATTAACAAATTGCGCCAAATAAAACAGCGGATATTTATACAAACTAGTTGCTTTAGCATTTGTTCTTGATTAAAAAATGTTATATTTCTTAAAAATCAAACTAAAGATTTTATTGGAAAAAATAATCGAGTTAATAATAAAACACCGATGAAAAGAATAGCAACTGTTTAGAAATTTAGAAACTCTGTATCTATTCAGGCGAATTAAGGCGTGTGTCTATGACGCTAGTACTTGGTCCAAGTTCTAATTCCGCGAAATATGTAGCCAATCAATGTAGCCGTTCCACAAAAGCTGCAAGTTGATTGGCTACGCATTCCTCAAAACTAGAACTTGGACCAAGTACTAGCGTCATAGACACACGCCTTAATTCGCCTGAACAGATACAGAGTTTCTAAATTTCTAAACAGTTGCTATTCTTTTCATCGGTGTTTTATTATTAACTCGATTATTTTTTCCAATAAAATCTTTAGTTTGATTTTTAAGAAATATAACATTTTTTAATCAAAAACAAATGCTAAAGCAACTAGTTTGTATAAATATCCGCTGTTTTAGTTGGCGCAATTTGTTGATATCATTACTTTTGTAGAGAAGATAGTTTTGTAGAGAAGATATTTTTGTGGAGACGATATTTTTGTACAGAAGATTTTTGTGGAGACACTATTTTTGTAAAGAAGATACTTTTGCAGTAAAGATATTTTCGTAGAGATTATACTTTTGTAAAAAAGATAGAGTAACAAAATATATTCGGTTGAATTGGAGCTTAGACTTGGTGCTTTTTTTACCTTTTTTTAAAAAGGTAAGTTTTTTACGTGATATCACACCTTTTGTAGTTTAATTTAATTATAAGTTTCCATACTAATTCATTCTAAGATTTGATGTACCTTGGCGGAGATAAAATTCATAATTCGAATTGTCATCAAATGTCTACATCACGCATTTTCATACACTACACATATTTGATGCATCTTTTCTATTTACAAAATTGGAGCATTATAATTATAATTCTGATTGTTCAAATGTTTTCTGTATTACACGATACATAAAATTATTAAATGGAATTCTGTCTCGAATTCTGTTGCGAATTATAGATCGTGTAAAGTGGATTTTAGACATTAGACACGTCTAATTTTAAGAAACGTATTTTAAACTAACACGTGCTGCCTGGGATATGTACAATAATATTGCAACGGTCAGAAATTTTCTGAGCTAAGATTGGATTAGAGGAATAATTCAATTTCAGCACTTCCAATAAAAAATATTCTGCTAGCTCGACCAATGTTACCTTATTATAATTTAACAAGGTTTTCTGAATATTGAATTGCAACATTTACAAGACATTACAATTCAGCGGCCATTAGACGTTTTTGCAATATCTTATTAACGTTGATTTTACAAATCGTAACATAGGCCTGGAAATACCGTCTGTTAGGAAACAGCGTAAAAATACGTGCGTGCGTGCGTGCGTGCGTGCGTGCGTGCGTGCCTGCGCGCGCGCTATTAGCTCGTGGTCAAACGGGACAGTGGTCAATTGCAACGTGGCCAATCGGGACCGTGGTCAGTTGCAACGTGGCCAATTGGGACCGTGGTCAATTGCAACGTGGTCAAGTGCAACGTGGTCAATCGGGACCGTGGTCAATTGTAACGTGGTCAATCGGGACCGTGGTCAATTACAACGTGGGCAATCGGGACCGTGGTCAATTGCAACGTGGCCAATCGGGA